CAGCACATTGTACCCCATAAATGCAGTAATGCACACAGTTATGATCTAATAAAAAAAGAAAGAAAGAAAGAAAGTTATTGTAACCTGATGAAGCTTAAGTTTCAGTACAATCACTTGCAAGTCACTGAAAGGGTCTACTCTGGCTGTTTGAGAATATATGCTCCCTGTGACTACTCCTTCTTTCACAAAAAGATCCCCATGGACCCAAAGTACAGTGTTTTTTCTTTTTTTTTTTTAAGACAGAGTTGCCTTCGGTAGAGTGCTGTAGCGTCATAGCTCACAGCAACCTCAGACTCCTGGGCTCAAGAGATTCTCTTGCCTCAGCCTCCCGAGTAGCTGGGATTATAGGTGCCCGCCACAAAGCCCAGCTATTTTGGAGGTGGGGTCTCACACTAGCTCAGGCTGATTTTATTTTTAGAGTCAGGGTCTCACTCTAGCTCAGGCTGGTCTGGAACTCGTGAGCTCAGACAATCCTCCTGCCTCAGCCTTCCAGGGTGCTGGGATTACAGATGTGAAGAGGGTTTTCTAGAGCCAAAATTAACATTAGGAACCCTGGGGTTTAGGTGACATTTGTGAAACTCCAGCTTGGTTTGGCCTGGAGGTACAGGGCGTGTTCCCATATTTGATTCATTAGACCAATGTTAAGGGAATTTCATGTCCTGAGGGCACTTGAATTCAATCTTAGAATGAAAAAGGCTCCTGTGCAGGTCTTTAGGATCAGCTACGGAAAAGGACAGCACAGGGAGGCTGAGCTCTGGTGGCTCATGCCTGTAATCCTATCACCTTGGGAGGCTGAGGCAGGAGAATTGCTTCTAAAGCCAGAAAAGCAGTCTGCAAGATGGAGTCTGAGAAGCTAAGCTGAAGTGGTACAGCTGACCTAGTCTGCTTAGCTCATGTTCTTTCCCCCACCCCAGTCCCCTCGGATTATCTAGTTAAGGTTTCACTATGATTGTGAGGATGTTCATCTCAAGAGATCTGAGGAGGCAGTCACACATAGATGATGGGGGTTGTGATATTGGTAAAGGTTACTTTGATGATATGTTTTCTCTGATGACTGTCTTCGATTTTTTTTTTTTTTTTTTTT